GTAGATTTAAGGAATAATTGGAGTAAAAATTAAAAAAACTGACATCTTCACGTGGTGCACTCTGGGCAACGTATACACGAGACAAAAAAATTAAAAAAATGACAGTTGACTTCTCACTTCAAACTACATGACCCCACTCTATGTCATATTCGACCACTTCCACAATACTCACCTTATCCTACTCTCCACCTTCGTGTCGATCTCATTCACAAATATGAATCACTCTTCTGTACCCCCTCTCCACTTTTTGTGACTTTGATGTTCCTTCCCTCTGTGAAGCCCGAAGTCAACCAAACGGCTAATGATAACCATCACAGAGCCTGCAGTTTGATATAAATAAATACCAAAATTACCAAAAATACCAAAGTTAATGTAAATGAAGAGCGTGCGCACAGCATGTCTAGAAAATACGATTTCACTTATCTTTGTCTTGAAACTGATAATATAACAGTCGAAAAAGTTTTGATAAGTCTTTCACTATTCGTCTTGGACAGATAAGTAGAAACATGGAGCTTGAATGAAATGAAAGGTGGTTGCTACCACTCCCTTTTAGTCAGGTATAATCGGTACAAGTTCCTTCCAGCTAACATTTTTGAGGAGAGAGAGAATATCTTCCAGTTCTGACTATCGCAAACTTTCAATTCTACCACTTCAATGACGGAGAGAATGTAAAATTCCCACTACAGATACTTTATGGGACAATTATATCCTTAGATCTGGATCATAACGGAAAAATGCATGAATTTAAGAGAAATCCAATAGAGTATATGAGGCAATTGAGAATAAAGAGACATACTTTCTAAAAATGTCCGATATGAAAAACTGTGAAGTGAGAATAGCATTAGTATATCCGGTGCTAAGCGCTTTCTCCTCCTTCATCAGTTGATTTGTGTCCAGAATCCCACACTGTTCGCTCATCCCAGTGCCAGTTGTAGTTGACTGTTGACTCACACCACTCGAGGGAGTAGCTGGTGCACCTGCGCTCGAGCTCCGTCGACCTCCACCTCCACACACATAGGAAGGGGCTGGAATAAGGCCTTGGATAAGGGCCATCAGAACTGCTGTGAAAGGGTGAACCCGAAGGAAGTGGTTGTTGGCGACCAAGTTTAAAGCAGCAGCAGCACTTTGAGATGCTTGGCAAAACGGTGCCCAGTCGTTAAGGAAACTACCAGAGGCCAAGACCCTAAGGCGAGAAAAGATGCGTAATTTCTCCTTTTCTTTTCAAATAAATTATTATTGATGTAAGAAATAAGTGATTACAAAAATTATAAAAAAAGACATCTGTTCTAATTCTCGAACAACCGCCTTCCATCAAGCAACCACAGAGGTGGACTTCACTAAGTACTTAAAAAATAGAATGTTGATAAAGAGCATTAAGTACAACCAGAGCTCGAGACAGATCGTAAATTCTTCAGTAACAAATCTAGTAGCTAAGAGCTTAGTCCACTTCTATGCATTGAACGTTAATTATTTGCGGAGATAGGAGTGAACTCTAGTGAAGGCAAAAAATTGAAATTAAGGAGATACACTTGCCTAGCAATCGTAAAAAATGTAGCATTAGGTTAAAGAGAAAAGGAAAAAACCTTCGAAGTTGGCGAATTTGAAAAGCAAGGGAATATTTACGTTGCCTAAGCTACTTAATTGCATTCTCAAGGACAAGTAGAAAAAAAAGTGCAATCAAGCCCTATATGCCATTCTTTCCAGTCTTTACTAGCTAAGAACTTGCAAATTTTGATTCTGAATACTTAGAAATATCCAAAATTTAAATTGTCATATGCAGTGCATATCCGGAAGTGAGATAGCTAAGAGTAGTTGTTGTGTGATACGTTCCTTCCATGCACCCTCGTTGTAGCCAACATGAAGTTTCCTCCCAAAGCTAATAGGAGTCGTGCTATTCAAAAGATGATCCAGAAATCAATGTCATCTGACAAAGATCAAGAGAAGCCCGCTACTTTCCGAGTGACTAGTAAATAAAAAATAAGTGTGTGTGAGGAAGAAAATAGAGTTTTGTTCTACAATTCAAGGCAAATCGATGCAAAGGCAATACATCTGCAAGGCATGTAGAACAAAGTTAGTTAGTCGTTAAAATTGCCCACAATCGAATTTTTACCAAAAGTTTCGGTTCTTCGTGAAAGCTGACCCAGTCGCCTTGTTACTGGAAGCATTTGATGCTGCTTTGAGTGGAGAGAAGACAAGGCTGTTGAGAATATCTGCAGCCACCATATGACGATGCTTGTCGTATTGCAGAAAGATTGTAGACACAAGGGCAAGAGCCGATCTTTGTAATTGAAGTCTCCAGGCATTTCGTTCTCGATAAACTGACTGCCTCCTCTCCCATCGCTCTTCAGATTCACCTGGAATTGGGGTAGGTGCTGGTTCAGGATAGATTACGGAAGCGATTGCAGCATTATTGGAGGTTCCTGGAGGTGGTGAACGCCTGCAAGTTCCAGAACTAAGACCACAGGAGATGACAAGAATCGCAAGCTCTGTGAGATGAATTATCAGGGAGTCGGTGAAGCGGGTAGGATGGAGACGGACTAAACTGGCCAATCCGGTCAAAGCCTCACTTAAACGGGTACCCAGACTTTCTCGTGCAATGTTTGTCAAATCCGCCGCGATATTCGCATTGGAGCGCTTGATATCTAGAACAACAAAAATAAGAAATAAATGCAAAAAATGGCAGATTGTCTTGGAAACGTGAAAGCAAAGCATGTTTAGACACGCGAGTTTTTTCGAGCATTGATCACCCCCCCCTGTGGGAGGAAACTGGATATCTACAAGAACTTACATCAAAAAAATTTGCAACAGTCTTTCATTAGTTTAGGAATTTTAACTGAAGAATTCAGCACAGAAATTCGGTTTGGTGAGCCAGGGAAAAGGACATAAATATAGAATCATGTGCCACAAATCAACTGTGGAATTTGAAGCAAAGTATGCAGATGGGTCTGTGGTGTGCATTACAAGGGCAAATAGAATAACTGAAAATCCCATCATCACCGGTGGAAAATTCGGCTTTTAGGGGCAATTTATTAGAATTGGAAATGCACTTTTCAAATCCATCGAAATAAATCTATTTACAGCAACCATCTAGGAGGTCTTTTAGTTGAGAAACACGCGCTTTTCTGTCCCTCCAGCAAATTCTGACTCTGTTGCCATGAAATTAGACCAATTAAAAAAACATCCGCTGAGTTGTTCAAAACAATGGCCACACAAAACTTTCGAAGAATTCTCCAACAATATTATTACTGTTATTATTTCAAATGGCAGGCTTTATGTTATAGATGTGGGGTATGCGATAGACTTACCTCCACGTGGTGCACCCTGGGCAACATATATCCATACGGCAAAAAAGTCTATTGACTGGCAGTTGACTTCTGACTTCAAACTACCCTCACCCCATTGTATGTTATATTCGACTACTTCCACAGTACTCACCTCACCTTTTTTCTACCTTCGTCTTTGAAACACTCTTCTGTTCCCCAACCCCCCTCTCGAATTTTTCCAATTTGATATTCCTTCCCCTCTGTGAAGCCTGAAGTCAA